CCTTCTCCTTCTCCTTCTCCTTCTCCTTCTCCTTCTCCTTCTCCTTCACAATAGAAGTTCCAAGAATTAGGCAGGGAAGGTTTTATTATTCCTACAGAGGTTGTGACACATATCACAAAATATGGACACCAGGCTTTTAATTTGGCCTTTCAAGCTGGTGCTTTTTCTGCAGTACCACAGGACCTCTCTGGGGTGGCAGAAGTGGGGGGCAAATCTGGGATGTGTGAGAGCCATGCCTGATGGGGATTTCACAGCTGCCTCCCTACACCTTACTACACTAAGGAGCATGGCTCCATCTTAGGCAAACAGAAGAAAGAGAGATAGAAATAAGCAAACTAACAAGCAAGCAAACAAATACCCTTGTGCTCAGGTGAGACCAGGGAGCAGGAAATGGGAAAGCAGTGTACCAAATCACGCTAGAGTGATTTATCATGTTTTACCTATTGGAAAACATCACAGTGGAAGGTTTTCCAAGGTCATTGCTTCTGGTTTTCCCTCTTTTTATGCAAAGGGAGAAGAGAAAGCCAGCTAAGTTTCGAGTTTTATAAAGAGTTGACCCAGAGCCAACCCCTAAGCTTTCAGGAGGTGAGCTGGAGCCTGAAGGTTGAGAAAACAAGTCAGGAAAAGGTTCTGCTGAGATGCCATCCTGGTCCCTGACATCATAAGAGAGCAGACTGCTGTTGCCTTCCCTTTGACATTACTGTCCATTGACCACACACACACACACACACACACACACACACACACACACACCCCTTGGATGTACACTTTTGTGCTTTTTGTCCTTCCGGTTATAATGTGATCTCTTGTATCCTTAGAGCTTAGCATGGTGCCTGGTACATAGTAAGTGCTTAATACATGTTTATTGACTGACTGACTGATCTCTCAGAGATGAGATGGCGCCAGAACATGAGGAGGTACTCAGAGGTAGTCAGGGGAGGGGGTATGAAGGTAAGAGATTCTTGTTCTGTCCTTATTGAGTTCCCTTTCACATACCATGTCCCTTCTTCCCCTCCAATCCTCTAATTGCACAGGGTTCACTTGGGGATGTGGCCCCTATGGGGCCTGGAAGGCCTACTGGCAACTTTGGGTGGGTAGGTGGGGTTCGTCTTGTCCATCCCTCTGCTCTCAGATGGGGCTACCTTTAAATGGACCCAGGGAGTTGTGGTAGAATGGAAAGTCTGGGGTCTTCATTCAATAGATACGTAACTTCATATGAATCACTTATTGGGTCTTAGTGTTTCTTTTTGGAAAATGAAATTAGTAATGCCTGTGCTGCTTTGGAGTGGGGAAGGGGTTGTGGGACAATTGATAGGTGAGAACTTTGAAGAGAATTAAGTATTGTGCAGATATTATTAGATCAGACTTATATGCTGTTAAAGCAAAAACAAATAAAATATTAGAGTAGCCTTAGAAACTCATTTCAGTGTCTTACCGTTCCTTTTTAGGGAAGTCTGCTTTATGTCCGGCCTTAATCAATCTGTCAACAAACATGTATTATGTGCCTACTATGTGCTAGACATTGTAGATACAAATGTAATGAATGAAACAATCTTTACTCTCAGTGGATTTATATTCCAACAGGGGACACAAGTCTACATGGAGGGACAGTTTCAGACATTTTTCTCCTGATCTGTTCCTAATGAAGAATGTTTAAGAAATCCTCATGGGCTTGGAAACTGCTATGCAGCTAAATGAGTCTCAGCTCTTTAATCTTTCCTCTTAAGGCTGACTTTTTGGTCCTCTTTATTTGAGCTCTGACCCTTCTTTTCTTTCTCTTTGTTCCTCTTTAATTGAGAGGTTCAGACTTGGACACAGGAATTTATGGACTAATATTAAGTGCATGAATGTGAGACCAGTGTGTGCCAGCTGTGCCCAGGCACACCCAAATCTCAAAAAAATGATATTTTGCTTCTAATTTTAAATTTATATCTTCAAGTAAAATTTTGTTAATTAAAATTTAGTTTAACATAGCTCAAATCAAATAAAGATAAAATGAGATGTATAAAACACTTTGTAAACCTTAAAATATTCTATAAATGATAGCAATTCTTATTATTAAACTTGCAAATTCTTTAGTTGATGAATAAAAATAATGTCTTTTATTTCAGCTATCAATAAACTTTTGTCTTAAAAGAGAATCCCCTGGGTATATCCCTAGTAGAATATACTATGTGCTCAAGACAGTTCTAACTAGCAAGAGCCAATGGTTAAATTTTCAGTGTAGCATGTACAAACTCACAAATCAGCAATTTAAAAATCAGGGATTGATTTTTTGTTGTTGAGTATTTATAATTAAAATTTTAATAATGCAGATTAAACTTAAAAGTATGTGTACATTTTTTTTTTCTGGAGAAGCCAGTTGTTAAATATTTACCAGCACATCCTGGTATTACTCTATAAACACTGCTTGAGCTGAGCAGGAGTCCAGTAGGAGCCTCAGGAATGAAGTCATCACTGGAATGGAGGCCTGGTGACTGTGGGTTAATAGCAACAAGAATGACAACAACAATAACAACAACAACAATAATAATAACTGGCATTTATTCAGGGCTTAAAGGTTCTCAAAGTGCTTTCCAGCCATTGTCTCATTTGAGCCTCAGAACAACCCTGAGCACACATCAATGATTAAGGGATGGACTTGAATGAGCTCAGGGCTTCTATGCTCTGCCTCCATCCAGTTTTTTAAATAAAATTGTATTGATTTTTTTCCCTACGTTTCCAAATGCATTTCCAAATTCCTGCTCTGCCCAGAGAGTCATCCCTTATAATGAAGAGGAATGAAAAAGTGTTGGGGGTTGTAGGGAGGGTGGAGAAATTCAGCAAAACTAAACACCATATTGAAAAAGTCTGGCATTATGTCCAATTCTCCACATTCAGAGTCTTCCACCTCTTCAAAGGAGCAGGAGAAGGTGCCTTCTTATGTCTCTTCTTTGAAGCCAAGCGTGGTCATTACAGTTTAGAAGGATTTCATTTCCACTGTTTGGCTTCCGTCATGCTTTCCATTACCATCCTTGTAGTCACGATGTACATTGCCTTCCTGGTTCTGCTGATTTCATTCCTCATTAGTTCATATAAATCTTTGCTTGCTTTTCTGCATTCATCCTTTTTAGAGATGTCAAATACTGAGCTTGTAAGCCTCCCAAGTGTAGCCTGAACAAGATTAAAATGTAATTGGGGGGGGTGGCTAGGTGACACAATGGATAGAACACTGGCCTTGGAGTCAGGAAGACCCGAGTTCAAATCTGGCCTCAGACACATAACGCTCACCAGCTGTGTGACCCTGGCCAAGTCACTTAACCCCTCACTAAAAAATTGCCCTCACCAAAAAAAAAAAAATGTAATTGGGAAATATTTAATAAAATACATAAAATATAAGAAGACAGAGATAATGTGAATATGTTTTCTAAGTCAGTGTGTGGCCTGCAGGGATCCTTATGTACAATTTAGTGGCCTCTGTTTCTATTCAAGTTTGGCACCACCAATCATATTCATTGTTTCTTAAAGCACAGTCATTACAGTTTTATCATATTCACATACCACAACTTGCTCAGCCATTCTCAGT